TTGATTCCATGTGATGACAGCAGACTTTCGATCAATTCGGTGACCAAAGTTTTGAGGATTGGCCAGAGAGCGTCCAGTTTTGTGGGAGCACTATTTAATGCTGTGCAGGTTTGGGGCCTAGTAGCTTTTAGACCCTTCTCAATAGTAACTTTGACACTGGATTTGTTACTCCTATTGGCTCCAGTGTGCTTGCTGGATGAAATGAGAGGGCGACTGCTTTGAACATGATTTTTGTGTCCTCCATCTTTCTTTTTGTCCTGTACGGAGGTCTTCTCACCCTTCACCATGGCCGATGGTGAAGGGCCGTGTGCCCCCTCTTCCTGAATGGGTAGACCCCACGCGGTTTTAGTGGGCAGGGGAGCTGGTATTAGTTTTGGTGGGGGCTTCGGTTCTGCTGTAGGCGTGGTGGGGTTCGTTTGAAGCCTTTTGAGCCTTTCAGGGCATTTCAAGTTCCAGGCGTGATGTGCCTTGGAGCAATTTGGGCACTTTCCCTGAACAGGGTGGTTTTCCTTGTGTTTATCAATGCATATTTTTGTGTCATGGGGCTGGCTGCAGACTCCGCACCTCACTGGGCGTTGGCAGCCATCTTTGTGATACCCAAATCTCTGACATCTAAAGCATCTTAGGGGCTCTGGGGTGTAAGGCCTGTGTTGGAACACGCCCCAGATTCCAAGGTCAAGTTTCTCCGGATCCGTCCTCTTACTGTGAGAAGGACTTGTTGGGTTTCCTGTTTTGTGGTTCGTACTTGGCATCTCTCTGCTGACACCACATAGTTCAGCTTTCCGAGATGGTCAAGGGCCATATGCAAGGGATAGTGGAGGACAATGATTTTTCGTATTTTATCCTCTGGATTCAATTCCTCACATTTTGTGTAATTTTTCAGAATCGTAGTGGCCGACTCGTCTTTAGGCCTCAGAATGTATTCTCTTCTGAGATTTGGTTTTGCTCTGATCTGGAGCTGGTGGTACTCTTTTTCGAGGTCCACTACAGTGGCGTAGGAAGACTTACCTTCCGTGTGCTGCACCTTGAAGATTGGCAGTGTAGATTTAGTCTGAGGAGCTGGAAGAGCTGGAGAAGCTTTAGTGATTATAGGGCGATGGGTCGTCATGGAGTGGCTTGTCCTGTTTGCCTCAGTCACATCATGTCACTCGCCGTCACTTACAGAACTTGTATCGAGTATAGATGGTCTTTTCCTACTCTGAGCAGCATTGCTGGATCGATTATAATTCAATTGGAATTCCATGATGATATTCAAATGATCACTTGTGGAGTGGTCTGGTGAGTGAAGGTGATGCTCTGTGCTACTGGAGACAAAGTCAGCGTGCAGTTGGCTCACTGGGTGAACAGTGCTTGTCTTACGATCCCTTTCATGTTCTTTTTATATTATTACACCTTACCTTCCGTACCTTTTGCCTTGCTTTTATCTTCATCTAAGATTTCTATCCCCTCACCTCTCTCTTGCCTATTTAATCCCCTTGCCTTCCTCGTCTCATCTTCCTGACTAATGTCAGCGGGTTTGAGGCCAGTTACGTCTTTCAGGACCTTTAAAGTATTGCTTCTTCCGATAGCATGACCGTCAAGTGGAGTAGCTCTGACCTTGAGACGTTTGGGTCGCATTGTGACCACACTGCGCCTTTTGAATAACATAGATATTGATATCGTGCTCTACTTTTCATGTGAAGAGGAGCTAGAAAAACTCCTCACTAACGATGACATTCTTCGCAAAGAGCACTACCTACATCCTCACTTCCCACGTCAGTTCCTGGCCGGAAGAACTGTTTTTACCAGCAGGACCAGCCGGTGGATCGCTGAGCGACCTCAACATCATATCATAAACAATATCGAGAACGAAAATCCAAACCTGTCGGTATTCAACCTGGAGTTCTGCAACACCGACAAAACATCAATGAAGATTACATTCACCACCAAAGCTGCGGCCACCCAGGCTGCCACACAAGGATTCTACTGCTTCGGCCTAAAAATACCACCCCATCAAATAAAAAAGGAACGATACCATGAGATCCAGCAGTGCTTCAAGTGCTACGAGCTCTCCCACCCGACCAACAAGTGTCAGCACCCTGTCCAGAGGTGCAGCCTGTGCGCACTGGACCATCACTACTCCATATGCAAGGCAACAGTCCATCACTGCTTGCTCTGTGATGGCAATCACCCCGCAATTTCCTACCGCTGCCCCCGCAGACAGGAAATCATCAAGGCCCAGGTTGAAGCCAAAAGAAACCACTCGTCTACCTCCTCGATCAGAGCCCCAAGCGTTCAACTCACCACCTTAGCTCTTACTAGTCGACCAGAAGACTTTCCGGTCTTACCAACATGTGGCTCCTCCCAGCAGGCGACACAGCCTTCTCATTGGGAACCCAAGGTCCCCAAAGTCCCACAGGCTCCTTCACAGCCCCCTGCATCACGTGCAGGCATTATCCCTGGTCTTCTTAAACTAGCGGAAAGGCTTGCAGGACCAGACAACCAGCGCTTTGTCAGTGAACTAAACGCATTATACATAGACAATGGCCTGGCCCCCATCATAGCCACTAGCATAAATCTCACTGCCTCCTCTACCACTCCGGAGACTACCACCAGGACGACCATGCGGTCAACTTCAACACCGACTCCAGAACCGCCCATGACCCGGGCGACACAAACAGAGGTAATTCCTTCTCCAGCTCCCAACACTCCTACCATCACTATCTCAGCAGCTGCGCTAGCAGACGTACTGTCTACAAACGATAACAGCACCGCCAGCGTTCCTGAAATAGCTACAACCACCAATCAACGACACCTAAACCTACCTAAGGCTGCGAAGCGAAAGACAAAAACGCCCACTTCGGAGGTTACGGACTCCTCAGACGAGGAAATCATAGTAGGAGCTGCACCACCGCATCTCCACAAATACGACACCTACACGGTTCAAGACTTCCTCATGGAGGCCACGTCACCAAACTCTAACGACAGCACTGCTCAGCCAAAGTCGCAGGCAAAGAAAAAACGGAAAACCTAGAGGTCTACACTAACCCCACCAGCTCCATAACTGGAATAGCCAGCCCTCCAGGCTGAAAACCATCATGAAGACCCCCCATCCATCGCCACATCTCTAGTATCAGCCACTGATACAGATAATGGCTCAAAAGAGCCTCCACTTACGGGCTCACCATAGTCCGTGCTACTGGAACTTATCGTTCTGAGTAGCGAATCTTAAACAACAACAACTCGTCTCATCATAATCGACATGATAATGGTTCAAGATGGACCAAAACGTCGACGTCTCTTCAATTTCTAGTGTGTGTTTGGTCAACATTTTTCAACCACGTTATTTTGACTCATCATCTGCAAATTCACCTTATTATACTTACTGAAACGCGCCTGAAAGAGGATACAACACAACACTTTAACTTACCAAACTACTCGGCAGTTTACAACTGGCTGCCAATCCAGAGAGGTGGTGGTACTGCTCTTTACTACCACCAACAACTGACATGCTTAGAAGTAATTAGAACTAGAGAAACTTGTGGCGAGTATATCTTTGCCCGGCTCAGAGTTAAGGATGCCGAGGCTGACTTGACTGTGGGAACAGTTGACAGAATTCATAACACTGATGTTGCTAAATTCAACTCTAACTTTAGAAATCTAACACTAACGAACAAACTTAACAAAACCAACTAATACTATCAGGTGATTTTAATACTGACCTCTGCGAGCCTGACAACCCTCATGTTGCTAGCTTAATCAACTATATTAATTCCTGCTTCCTCATACCCTTCATCATTAAACCCACTAGAATTAATGAAACTACTGCCTCTTGACCACATCTGGACTAACATAACCTTTCCACTTACTTCATGAACAATCACTGATTATTCCTGAAAGACCAGAGACAATTACCTTACATTTCTCCTAACCAGCATTAATAAACATCCATTAGATATAAAGAAGATAAGCTTTAGGCTGCACAATGAAGCTTCCATAAGCAACTTTATTGCTACTGCTGCTAATATCAACTGGGTGACTGAATTAGGTAACATAGTGAACATCAATCTTGCGGTGCAAACAATTCTTCACAAAACTCTGTGCGTGTATAATACCCACTGTCCAATGCTAACTAAATAAGCCTCTACTAAAAAGTTAAACAATCCATGGCTTACTAAGCGGATACTTAAATCTATCAATATGAAACATGATCAGAAGAAATATAGGTTAGGGGTAATTTCCAAAGAAGTTTCAAGGAGCTACTCATCAATGCTGCCCAATGCTGTTAGATATCAAGTCACTGTACATCCTCTCAATGTGGTCTATATATATTAAACTCTGAACTGTAATGTCAATCCTGACCTTAGACGCTTCTTAGAAGGCTGTACCGGAATCAATGGGCACCTCACTAGAAACAAATATCTTGATATTCCAACAACATATTGTTGGAATACTCTTGATATTCCAAGAGTGGCACTTAACCAAACCTGCAAATCATAGGTCCAATAATGTGGAATGACCTTCCCAATCACGTCAAAGACTGTCCTCCTCTAAACCAGTTTAAGAGAAAAACTAAGTAAGCCTAATCAATTCCATGTAACCTACCTTACCTACTAAAGATCAACCTATGTCATGGTGTTTTCAAACAATATTGATTATTGACCAACCAGTATAACTGCTGATTTATAAACTTAAAGAAATTTGTAGCCTGTCTGTTTATTGAGTTAATTTTTTCTGCTGTTCTGTTGCAATGTCTTCTGTTCCGTCCAACATGTAATTATTGTCATTCTTTTCTTTTTGTCTTTTTCTTCATATTTCAGTCATCTGCATTAGTTTTAAGTCTTAGTTTTTATGTGTTTTTCCTACTTCTTGCCCAAACGCAATATGTATTAGAGCTAGTATATACTGTGCCTAAAGCCACTATCTACATACCCAACATTCTGTTGGTAACTCATTTTGAGTGTATGTACTTTTACCTGAATAAACATTATCATTATCATAATATTATTGTTGTGGTTTAGGAAGCACCATGTGATGGAGACCACTGCAGCTGCACCTACGTGTTGGAGGCGGCGCTGGGGGAGGAGGTGGAGATGGTGCTGGTGGACGAAGGCACTACTGGTGCCGAGAACCACCCCTTCCACCTGCACGGGTACAGCTTCCACGTTGTGGCCATGGGGCACCTCGGCGGGTAAGTCAACACTTGTGCCAACCTTCTGAACTCCCTTTATTGTGGCCAGGACGCCTGTGTCCAGCCTTGTCCAGAGGGCCCCTCTACCCCCAGCTACTCGCCCCCCCCCCCCCAGGACGCAACCCACACTTAACAGTCGCCTCATTCCCGAAACCTATTTAGCACTTCGTGAACAGAAGCATCAGGTGAATGGAAACGTTGCCCATTCATTCCTAACTCATTTAGGAATTCATTTATTATTTAGAAATATCATTTCTAAATAATTCCTAGAGTTTATACAAATAATTAAGACAAAAAAGAAAATCACATGGATAACTTAGCTGTATGGCGAGTCCTCCCAGACGACCACTGGTATGGATAACTTATCTGTATGGTGAGTCCTCCCAGACGACCACTGGTATGGATAACTTATCTGTATGGTGAGTCCTCCCAGACAACCACTGGTATGGATAACTTATCTGTATGGTGAGTCCTCCCAGACGACCACTGGTATGGATAACTTATCTGTATGGTGAGTCCTCACAGACAACCACTGGTATGGGTAACTTATCTGCATGGTGAGTCCTCACGGACAACCACTGGTATGGATAACTTATCTGTATGGTGAGTCCTCCCAGACGACCACTGGTATGGATAACTTATCTGTATGGTGAGTCCTCCCAGACGTCCACTGGTATGGATAACAGGGGTAAACATTTTACAATCTTGCCTGCTCAGAGCTCACAATTATTCATAGTTCATTGTGTCGGGGGACAGGAAGCCAGAGTATATTCATACACATTAGGCTTTCTTTCGAGGGCCCCCCCTCCCCCCTAAGGTCAAATTACTGACCCCGCCCAAGATGCCATCCCACAACAAGCTTACTAACTCCTGAATACCTACTGGCTGTTAGATGAACAGCGCCATTAGGTGAAAGAAAATGTGCCCAACCATTTATGTCCCGCCCGGGATTCGAAACCGGAATTATCGACTGTACATCGAGAACGAAACTGATTGTATTACCGGGACCCTCCATGGAAAATGGTCTACAGATGAGAGCTGAGTATCCTCTGTAAACATCAATCAGACATTGTAATGTCTGGCATGCCTACATCAATAGCCATGTAAATGAATAATCAGTTTCACTCAGAATTGTTTATTTTGGCTTATAAAAAACTGTTAAAATTAGTCTACAGTAATTAGTAAGAATTTAAAACAAAAGGATCAAGGCCTGAATGTTCGTAATAAGGCAAATAGGACACTGGGATTTATTAATCGAAGCGTTAGTAACAAGACACCTGGTGTTGTCCTTCATCTATATCTTGCTCTGGTTAGGCCCCATTTAGATTATGCAGTTCAGTTTTGGTCGCCGTACTATAGAATGGATATAAATTCACTTGAACGTGTCCAGCGTAGGATGACTAAGTTAATTCCCCAAATTAGAAATCTTTCGTATGAAGAAAGATTATCAAAGCTTAACTTGCATTCACTGGAAAGGCAAAGAGTTAGGGGTGACATGATAGAGGTGTACAAGTGGATGAATGAACATCTTCGCCTTTCCAGTGAATGCAATTTAAGCTTTGTTAATCTTTCTTCATATGAAAGATTTCTAATTTGGGGAATTAGCTTAGTCATCCTACGCTGGACACGTTCAATTGGATATATATCCATTCTATAGTACGGCGACCAAAACTGAACTGCATAATCTAAATGGGGCCTAACCAGAGCAAGATATAGCTGAAGAACCACACCTTGTTACTAACGCTTCGATTATTAAATCCCAGTGTCCTATTTGCCTTATTACGAACATTCATGCATTGATCCTTTTGTTTTAAATTCTTACTAATTATAACTCCCAGAACCCTTTCGCAATCTCAACACCATCTAGCTCGTATCTTGTAACTCTATCATCATTACCTAGCCTCAGAACTTTACATTTATCAGCATTAAACTTCATCTGCCAATCCTCTGACCATTTCAAAACCCTATTAAGATCAACTTGAAGAGATAGTGAGTCTTCTTCTGTATTAATTTCCCTACCGATTTTTGTATCATCGGCAAATTTGCAAATGTTGCTATTCAAACCTGAATCTAAATCATTTATATATATTATAAACAACAGAGGTCCCAGGACAGAGCCTTGAGGCACTCCACTCACAACATTTTCCCACTCTGACTTGACTCCATTTATACTAACTCTCTGTTTCCTTTGGTATAGCCATGCCCTAATCCAGATTAATATTGCACCCCCAATACCATGAGCCTCTATCTTTTTAATCAGTTTTTCATGTAGCACTGTATAAAAAGCTTTGCTAGAGTCAAGGTGCACAACATCACAATCCTTACCACTATCAACATTTGTTAAACATGAACGGCCATTTATAAAACCATGTTGCGACTCAATTATTAATTTATGTTTTTCAAGATGACGACGAATTTTATTTGCAATTATGGATTCGAGTAACTTTCCCACAATAGACGTTAGGCTAATTGGTCGATAGTTTGACGCAAGTGATCTATCTCCTTTCTCAAAAACTGGTATCACATTAGCAACTTTCCATAACTCTGGCACTCTGCCTGACTCTATTGATTTATTAAATATGGTAGACACTGGGTCGCAAAGCTCCTCTTTGCATTCTTTAAGCACCCTGACTAACACTTCATCCGGCCCTGGGGATTTGTTTGGTTTGAGTATTACTATTTGTTTAAGAACATCCTCCCTGGTAACTGCTAAACTAGTCAACCTGTCCTCGTCCCCACCCACATAGACTTGTTCGGCTGAAGGCATATTGTTAAGTTCCTCTTTAGTAAATGCAGATATAAAATATTTATTAAAAATACTGCTCATCCCCTCATCACTATCTGTTATTTGACCTGTCTCAGTTTTTAATGGACCTATCCATTCCCTAATCTTTGACCGGTATAATTGGAAAAACCCTTTAGGATTTGTTTTTGTTTGCTCAGCTATGCGAACTTCATAGTTTCTTTTTGCTTTCCCTATCTCTTTTTTATTATTTCTAACCAGTTGTACGAATTTCTGTTCTAAACAGACTCCCCATTCTTAATCCTTTTGTACCACGCTCTCGTCTTACCTATAAGGTTCTTCAGATCTTTTGTTATCCACTTTGGATCATTAGTATTCGATCTATTCAATTTATATGGTATACTACATTCCTGGGCTTTGCTTAGAATATTTTTAAATAGGTTATATTTTGAATCCACATCGAAAACCCCTTTTACGTCACCTATCGCTGGGTTCACGTCTAGCTCCAATACCGGCTCACAACCCATACCCAAGACTTTCGAATCTATTTGACCCAAAAAATTTCTTAGGCTATTGAAATCAGCTTTTCGAAAATCAGGCACTTTAACAGAATTTTCTTCTACAGATCTATTCCATTAAATGGTAAATCTGATTTCTTTATGATCACTGTTCCCTAGCTCACTCCCTATTTCGATATCCTTAATTTGTGTTTCCCTATTAGTTAACACTAAATCTAAAATATTATTTCCCCGCGTTGGTTCCTTTTTTTTCAGGGATATTCCTGTGTGGGCCCTAAGGCTCTGGCTGGCACACTAAGTGTTGCTTGTTTCTGTTTTACTTGGGCGGAGTATGAGTATTTATGACTCATATGGTCGCTTCAGTAAGATTTTGCCATGTGTTTAACAACTTCTTCTGCTCTGTTGAATCTAAGTTGAAATCTTAATGGGTTTGTAACTGTGCACTGTGTTAGATAATGTTCCAGTGATCTGTCAGGCATTTCTCCACAGTGTTGACATTTCCTCTCATCTTCCGGAACCTGTAAGCCTATTTCCCATGCACATGGGTATCAAGCCTGATGCGATGTAAGTGCACTTCTGTTGCCCTATTGCTCCCTTTCATCAAACTAAGTGGTTCGTAGTTGGTTGAATTCTTGTACTGTGACGGTAACGCGTTGGTGTTCGGCTGTTTCAAAAGCTAGGGGTATGGCCTCGTCACATATAGAAACAAAAAAGAGAAAATCTGGAACTTCGTCTGTGGTAAGGTAATGGGAAGACACACAAAACACAAGTAAATTTAACAATGAGATTTTAATTATGTTAGAAAAGCAAAACATGAATAAAATGGACATACAAATTGGAACATAAAATCAATCAATCAAAATAATAAGAATAATCAAATGGCAAAATGAAAAGTTACGTTAAGACAAGTGAGTAATAACAAGTGAACAATATACAATGCAAATATGGGTGCAGGAATATTGGCTTTAAGCTGCCACCTCTCTTAGTACACGTAAGCCAGAGCTTAGTCTACCAACGAGACGTGTTAACTTGTTGAAAGCACTGGATATTCTGAGGTCTGCAGGTCGTGGCGGCCCCAGACATCAGGTAGTGTGGCGGTGGAGGAGCGGGTGCAACTGACCACCAGCCAATCAGCGATGAGCAGGCGACGGACAGGTAGTTTGGTGGTTCGAGTGGTGGAGGCGGAGCAGGCGTTCCTGGTGCTGAATACGTTTGCTCTCTGGCAAACCTTGGAGTTGTACTTGTTGGATATTTCTTCCATATTAGTTGTATAGGGATGTATAGCGACGAACTTAGGAGGGAAGAGCAGGCTCAGTCTCTTGAAGGAGATTATCGTCACAACTCTCCCCAGAAGCCTGCGGTTCTGGAAGAAGTACGTCGTTATGTGGTGGAGTAATAGATGGAGTCGCTTCTACTTCATAAACTCTGGAGAGGGCATCGGCTATGATGTTGTCAGAACCCTTGATATAGCGGATCTCCAGGTTGAAATCTTGTAAATACAAAGCCCATCGTAGAAGACGCTGGTTGGTGAATTGGGTTTGATGTAGGAAGCGGAGAGGGTTGTGGTCTGAGAAGATGGTTGTAGACCTGGCGCCTTGGGGTACGGAGCGAAGTGTTGGAGGTTCAGGACGATGGATAGTAGCTCCTTTTCAATAGTGCTGTAGTTCCTCTGGTGTGGTTTCAATTTGTAGCTGTAGTAGCTGACGGGTAGAACCTCCTCGCCTCGTTGTTGCATCAGG